CCTCCCAGTCCCCTCCCAGTGCCCCCCAGTTTGGCACCTTGTGGAAGAGGAAGGGCTCCTCATCCCACACAGGGTTGAAGGGGTTCCCCTGGCAGGGCCGGGTGCGGAACCGCCGCCGCGTGTCCACTGGCAGCCCGAAGACGTCCACCTCCACGTAGACCCCCCCGCGGCGCTCCGACAGGAACTGCCCTGAGATCACCTGGGGAGGGACACCCCAAAATCAGCCTGGCACCCCAAAACCTGCCCTGACACCCCCAAATTGCCCTGACACCCCCAAAACCCACCCCCAGCACCCCCAGGCCCCCCTGCGGTGCTCCAGCAGGAACTGCCCTGAGATCACTTGGGGGGGCACCCCAAAATCAGCCTGGCACCCCAAAACCTGCCCATGCCCTGGGGTAATTAGGGGTGATGGGACCCCTCCCCACCTCTAGGGACATTTGGGAGGGGATCTAGGGACTCCTCCTCCGGATCAATTTTGGGGGGGCTCTAGGGACCCCCCCCAGCTCAGTTTTGGGGGGCTGTGGGTATATCCCCCCCAAAAGGCATTTTGGGGGGGGCTGCAGGGCCTCCCAACCCCTTTGGAGCCATTTGGGCGGCTCTGGGCAGTTCCTCCCCCGCCCCAGAGCCATTTGGGGGGGCCGTGGCAACCCCCCCACCCACCCCGGGTCAGTTTTGGGGTGTCCCCCCCACCTGCACCCGCAGGGTGTTGGCGACGATCCCATCCACCAGATCCTCAGCGAAGGGGTCAAAGGTTTTGTCCCGGCGTCGCATGAACTCGGGTTTGAGCAGGAGCCCGCAGCGAGCGTTGTACTCGAACAGCCCCAGGTTCAGCTGCATCGGTATGTCTGGGGCGCGCCGTGGGGCAGAGGTGTGGGGCAGGGGTCAGCGCCGTGGGGCAGAGCTGTGATGGGGCTCGGGGGGGGGCGTTGGGACTGGGAACAGCCCCAGGTTCGGCCGTATCGGTACGTCTGGGGCGCGCCGTGGGGCAGAGGTGTGGGGCAGGGGTCAGCGCCGTGGGGCAGCGTCACAGCCGTGGGGTGCTGGGTGCAGCTGTGGGGGTCAGAGGCACGGTGTGCCACGGGGCTATGGGGCTGTGCTACGGGTCGGGGCCATGTGGTGGGTCACGCCGTGGGTCTGCCGCACCGTGGGTTGTACTACGGACCATGCTATGGGTCGCGCTATGGGGCTGGACCACGCTCTGGATCTGTGCTACGAGCTGGGGGGTGGGCAGTGGGTCGCGCTCAGGGCTGCGCTATGGGGAAGGAGGGGGGTGGGCACCGCGCTATGGGTCGGGGCCGCGCCGTGGGTCGCGCCGTGGGTCTGACCGAGGGTCTGGAAGTTGAGGGCGGCCATGTGGCAGCCAGCGTTCCAGAAGAGTTGGGGCTGGAAGTTGGAGGAGTCGACGCGGGTGCCCTTGGGGTAGACGCGGCTCAGCTGGCGCTTGTTGTACCTGAGCGTCAAGGACTACGCGACCCACGGCTGCCCCATAGCTGCCCCGCAGCTGCCCCACGGCCGCTCCGCACCAACCCCCGTACCACTTCCATACAGCCCGATCGGCCCCACACCTGCCCCGTCATCCTCTACACCTGCCCCGGTTGCCCCACAGCTGCCCCACAGACCCCGAAACAGCTCCAGAGCACCCCAAAACCTGCTTCTGCCCCCCCCCAACAGCCCCATCTTCCCCCACACCCCCTAAAAACCAGCTGTGCACCCCAAAACGCTCCCCAGAAGTCACTAATAGCCCCAGGCACCCCAAAACCCCCTACAGACCCCCAAGGGCACCCCAAAACCAGCTTATATCCAATTAATGCACCCCAAAATCCCTCTATCTCCCCCAAGAGCACCCCAAAACTTTCCTCATCCTGCAAATGCACCCCAAATCCCCCTGTATACCCCTAAGCATACCCCAAAACCACCTCGTATCCCTGGAAAGCACCCCAAAATCCCTCTATCTCCCCCAAATACACCCCAAAACCTCCTATACATCCCCAAAAGGACCCCAAACCCTGCTCGTATTCCCTAAAAGCACCCCCAAATCCCCCTATTTCCC